TATACATGATATATGAAATATTAGCTGTTTAGTGATGAGAGAAGTGCACTGTAGCTGTAAAGCAGCATTAATAGGGAGTGAAGCGGCTCTCTGTAGATTAGCTTTGAAGACCAAAAACCTGCTGTTTCACCCTCCTTTGGCACAGATTCAGCCGAGTCATTTATCACGAATCATTTGTTAGCAGCAGCCAGACGAAGAAGCTTTAAGAGTTACTCAGTGAGATTTTGTATTTCAATAGAGAGATCACCTCCCAGATGTTGTAATCATTTTATATTTGCTTGTATGTGTAACCCGGCCATAAATTACATATTGTTATAATTACACAAATTTTATTTTCCAGTTTATACCTGATTTTTAGGACCTTCAAGCCTGTAGTTATGTTCTTTATCAGTTGGAGCCCCTCATCATTGTTCTTCTTCTTCTTTGGTGCAACCCTATAAATACAGTGTACCCTTTTGGCCTCTGCCCTTTTCTACAATTCCCCTGTGGAAGAGGTTGGTGTCATTTCTTTCCAGACACTGTACAACACACATATAATGTATATTTAGCCACCATGATATTTCTGATTGTGTGTCTTTAGTTCAATTATTGTCTTATCTTATCTTATCTTATCTTATCTTATCTTATCTTATCTTATCTTATTGTCATCATTGTGCCTGTTTTTGTTAGATGTTAGAAATGTGTAGTATGTGTGTGCCACAAATGTGTTTTAGGCGCCGTTAATGCTAGCATGAATATGTAATTCTGGCTAGCTTGGGAGTTGTGGTGGGTTGAGCTAATCCTCTCCCCCACTGTTTGTATTTGGTCAGAGGAGCTGGAGCGAGCAAATTATTTACTTGGAGGTCTTTCTTTCTTTTACCTTTCTTTGTCAGGTATGTCTGAGTTTTTTTTAATCTTATGTCAAATATCTTCCATGTAAGTTCGTACTTTATGTTTAATGTAAAAATAAATGCAGCCCTTTTCTACAATTCCCCTGTGGGAGAGGAGCTGGAGTGAGCTAGTTATTTACTTGGAGGTCTTTCTGTCTTTTACCTTTCTTTGTCAGACACAATGCAGAAACACACCGGTTACATATGGTTTGGTTGTATGTATGACATTTTTATTCATTTTTTACATTTACTTTATATTTTTGTGGTGAGGTTGTGGTTCTCTCCCCTGAGTTATCCCCCACCTCATAGTGCTGCGGAAAAAAGTTACAGAGCTCTTTCTGTTTCATCATTTTCATTCCAACCATTTTAGGAAGGCCACTTTTATTACTAAGTCCCTATTGCTTAATTTCCTTTTACAGCTTACTTCTTTGTTTGCCCAGACTATTTCACTCTCCCTCCCTTCACCATAAAGCAGTGAACTTCAGTGGCTTTTCCCCCCCTTTTCTTCTTCCTCTCTGTGGTCCCGACTTGGTCTTATCTTATATCTCTCTGCTGCAGGCTGCGTAGCAACAACCCATCATGTGACCATGACTCCCTCCTCTCCACCACATTCCCTCTAGAGTTATAAAGCTACAACCTCAGTAACTTAGTAACAGAAATCTGAATCTTCATTTGTCTTAAGCCATTAAATGGTTCATAAAGAAAAATAAAATGTCATCATCCCATTTCCTCCTTTTCTCTGAATCATCCCTTCATTATTTACCTCCTAATGCTCTAAAGGTTAGCTCTCCCTAGCGCTTCATCAGCAATACATTCCTCTACCACTTAAATCCTGACTTTTCTGGACTGTCTTCTTCTTCACCAGCGCCTCAGATCTGCTTCTATCTAACATTTGTAGAATCTCATACGAATGGTGTGGTTTCATCAATATGAAGCAGCGGTGGATAGAGAGTGTTTGTTTGTTTGGTTTTGTCACACTATTCTGTATGATCTGCTCACAATGTTCCTCACGTGCTCTGTTCATGCTACGAATATATGTAGACTGTGTATGTGTGTGTGTAAAATGGTTTAAAAAAACTGGGTCATATCTACCATGTGTGTGGGTAATGAGCACCCCTGTGAGCCCTTTCAACCCTCCCTGCATCTAACTCTTGTTTTTCTTCTATTGAATTTGCAGTCAACTCGTTTCCCGAGGCGTTCCCTTTCCCTTATTTTACTTTAATGTCATGCTTGTTCCAGCTAGCCCCTCCATCTCTCTCTCTCTCGCTCTGTGCATCTCCTTTCTTGCTGCAGCATCCATTCCTTAACCACCCCCTCCCCTCCACCCTCTCTTGAGCCACTGGCTAGTGCAGCCCATATTTGCTAAGTGTATTGGAGTGCACCTCACCCTTTCCTCCCACCCCTCTTTGATCCTGATTGACCATCCAGGAATGGGAAAAAAAAGCCTCTGTTTTCTGCATAAGCAATGCCACAAAACAGAATCGCTGGATGTGTATTAAATAAGGTTCTGCATGCTTAAAGCATTTATTTCATGAACTCTACCAGAAGAAGCTCAAGGCCAAGTGCTGTGTGTTTACACCCAGCCTCCATTGATTTCCTGCAGCACTGAGAATTCATTAACCATGTGCAGTCCTGCTGCCGAGTTTGTCTTTATATTAATCTTGTAGCAATCATCTTAATGAAAGCCTGAAACTATAATCATACACTGGGTTTGACTTAAAATACATGCATGCACTCGCTGAGATGGTCCCTTGCTGGGATCAGCTCAAGGTCACGGTGTGTGTCACAGCGAGAGCTTTAATGTGATTATCGAGATACAATCAGTCCAGGTTAGAAAGTGTGAAATGGCAAAATAGCGGTTATCAATTCAGTCTATTGGCATATGTGATCAATATCCGAGAAGCTACTTACACAGCTGATCGATCAGCATTCAGGTAATGAAAACAGATAGGTGAGATAAGATGGAGCTTGCTCAGAAATGTGAGCCTTTTACATTACTCTACAGAGACATATCGCAGAGTCACCATCAGACTTAACTAAACTGAATGAATATAAATATGTTTATTCAAGATGAGCAAATAATGTATTCTGCAAAGTCACTGTAGCAGTGGAAGGATGCCTGATGTCAGCAGATCCACTTAGGAATGTGGAGAGTGTCACCAGGAATGGACAAACATGCAGTCACAGCTCCTTATCGTTAATTCTGCGCAGGTTAGGCTTGGCTTTACATAAAAGTCCAACACTGAAAACTGTCACTTGACAGCTTGACAGTAGATGGAAATTTATGAGTTCAAATCAAGGCAGCTTTTTAGATTTATATCAGTCTGCTATCTGCTAGCAAAATGAGCCTGCCCTTCATCCAAATGACCTTAAACCCGACACTCCAATCACTCAGGTTTCCCAGCAGTACACACACCAAGTTTATTGTGGATGAAATGAATGGTCGTTCATTGGCCATATAACATAAGTGAGATTGGATTTTCTATAAAATTAGCCCAGACCCCCACTGCATGCACTGCCTCCATAAAGTTGTGTACCAAAATAAATACGATTGTAATTTGTATTCATAAACACATTAGCAAAGATAAAGCTTCTATTTTATTTAATCATTCAGTATGGTTGGGTGATAATATTCCTAGGGTTTGGAGGGCTTTCACATATTGTGTTTGTGGGGTTGGTTGTGCAGATGTTAAAGCTTCCTCTTGCATAGACTCACAGAAAGTGCTGGAACCTTCCTGTTACCTATTGTATACCTATGGTTATCTATTACAGTAAGTAATAGGTTTGGACCAACCTATACAGCAAGGATAATAATAACTATAGTGCCACACTACAGTATCACTTTATTGTCAGTGACATTAATGCAACTGAAACGAATCATGGGTCTGATTTTTGTACAAATATAGTGGTTCAACTTTACATTTATTTCGGGGAGATTAGGGCTGAATTAAGGCCCTCTGGTTCTCCATCTTGAGTGTACTATTCATATAACCCAGCAAATCAGAAAAGATGGAAGTTGGATGGATGCATGGATGGAAATCAATCACTAAGTGTTGTGACCAGAAAAGATACTGTCACAGTCCTGTGTGACCTCATTCTGACATCACCAGTTATCAGATATGACACCATTTATGTTTATAAATAAACTGCAATGAATGATTTCATCAATAATGAAAACTGGAAAAATTCTAAAGTCATTCTGAGTCTGTGACCCTGCTAATGCTGCTTTATTAAGGTGCTGTTTTTGCTTTATATATTTATATCACACTTATATCTGCATATATATGTGTGTGTGTGTGTGTGTGAGAGAGAGAGAGGGGGAGAAGAGGCGACACCTCTCCTCCTCACATGTGACCCCATGTGACAGCGGGCTGAAAGGGAAGAGAGGGGAGACCGGCTCTCCTCTTTATCTGGCAGCAGCAGAGATGAGATGGTGCTGCTTGCGTTTTGTTCCCAGTTGTATTTATTTGCATTTATTCATGCCCCATGCTCATGCCACCTTGAAAAGCACATTGCTTTTTTTTTGTTTGTTTGGTTTGTGTTTGTCAGAATTAAATTACTCTGCTCCGGTGTGATTGTGACAAAGTAAGTGGATCTAGTGAAAGCAAACAACTTGCTCTGTTTACTGCCTAATGGCAGAGTTAGAGATAATGATATCATGTGTGACATGAGGAACCCACAGGCAGGTTTGAAATGAGTCAGTGTGGTAGTGACTGCTATTAAGAGACCCGTAGTAAGCTGAGGTCATAAAAGTGGACATTTTTGCAGTATTTCTCTCTCCAGTTTTTAAAAAATTTTTTTTTTAGAAATATCACCTAAATCCTCTCTTCTTATCATGCTTGTTGCCTCTCTCTCTCTCTCTCTCTTCCAACTTTGGCAATCCCTCCCTCTCTCTCTCTCCTCCTTTCTTATCTTAGCTGAGGGGAGGCAGACAGGGATGGATGGCTGAGGAAATTGAATTCTCTGTATCGCCGTCGCGCCCCTGCAGTGAGCTGCTTCACGTGTCCGCCTCTCTTCCATCCACACTTACAGCTGTGCATGCATATATTTATGCACAGACACAGTGCTTAGTCACAACTCTGTTGTGGTAATGTGGATGTGAGTACATTTACATCTTCTTTTTCTCAACAGCTGTCGTACAAGCAACAGAAAAAGTCTGATCCTGACGACCACGTCCCCCACGCTCCCTCGGCCTCACTCCCCTCTGCCCCTCCCTGGACACCTCGGTATGTACAACAAAAGCCCTAACGCCTCCCCTGTGAGCTTGATTTTAATTGATTTTGATCAAAAATATAGGTGAAGATATTCCGACCTCTCAAAAAAGGGTTATTCTACTGGTTCATCATGTGTTTACAGTTTCTTAGTTTTATTCTTTTTCACTTCACTGCAGAGAGTTAGAAGATCGATCCCTCTCTCATGTCTGTATGGTTAAAATTAAGTTAGAGCTAGTAACAGGATAGCTTAGCTTAATATAAAGTCCACTTAAGGCCAGCGCCAAAAGCAAGTCAGTTGTCAAAGTCTTCTGTGTTAACATGTCCAGCTTTACAGAAGAAATAAGAATGATTAATTCCTGCTACTGTTTGTGGTTTAAAACGAAGAAATAATTATTGTTTTTGTGTCTGCATGCTACTCCCATTTAATTTATGCATCTTGCTAACTAAGCTTGCTAGCATTAGCTCATAATTTTATCACTCATCTGTGTTATCTAAATTTACTTTAAAAAAACAAACAGACAGATATGAAGGCCAAAACTGGTAATGTTCAGACTTCAAAACTCGATTTTATAAATTAATGTTGATGTCACTGAGCTTATGTCTACTTTTTATATACAGTCAATAGGTGAAATGATTAGCCTTTGAAGTTGTCATGGTAATTTTACATGTAGGGTGAAATCAAGCCCATTTTACGGTGGCCCTGAGAGGCCAAACAGACTGCAACTTAAGAAAACACCAACAATAAGAAAAACGCTTCAAAAGCACATAAAACACAACGGAAATAGGAAAAAACAGATTTCCAAAGGCACTAGGGAAGTGTTTCTGGGGAGACAATAACCCGACAGACCAGTTGCAGGAACCCAAAACAAGCTAGATGTGTTTTATCATGATTCATATAATACTGATGACGGATTTTTTAGGCTAATAGTTAGGCTAACACATCCTGTGTTTTCTTTTTTCCTATTTCTGTTGTGTTTTGTGTGCTTTTGCAGCGTTTTTCTTATTGCTGGTGTTTTCTTAAGTTGCAGTCCGTTTGGCCTCTCAGGGCCAACGTACCATTTTGATCTTTAGTGTCCCAGATCAATTAACTTCCACTTGGTGTCAGTGTAAAGAAGTTACACATTTAATTCTCTAGACGAGTTGTTTCCTTATGTTTTCCGTCTTCATGGCAAACTAAACACGTCATCATAGCAAGAAAACAACAAAAAGCAGTATATTTCCAACAATGATCTCAAAGTTTACTGAGCTGAATGTGAAAACACAGCTCCCATATGAGGTTGATTCTGTTTTTGTCTGAAATATTTTTGAAATTTGGATATATATGTAACTCGCATTTGTTCCCTGTCGAGTTTCACTAAAGATCAAAGATAGGCCCTTAGGTTTAAGAAAAAAATCTTAGTTTACATTAAGTTTTAAATCGGTTTACTCCTAAAAGCGTTGCCTACTTATTATGAGTAGTTATGCTGTGATATTGAACTAAAGGAGCAGTGGGAGACAGCTCTGCGTCTGAACCTCACAGCACGTCACTGGATTTCCTGTTGGGACTTGGCCACAGGATAAAAGGCACAGTGGCATGACATACTACCACTTTGACCTTCTCCTACACTCGTGCCGTTCTTTCGTGTCTCATTCTCAATGCATGTCTTGTTGTCCCACCAGGAAGCAGCCCACTGGACAGCCCACGAAACTTCTCTCCCAGCAACCCAGCCCACTTCTCATTCGCCTCCTCCAGAAGGTGACTGCTTCCCGGCACTGCAGACTACACACTGACTGTGATTGCACCTGTTTACTCTCGGCCATATTTGCACAAGAGGTGTGAGAGGGATAGAAAGTGAGATAGAGACAGATAAGAAGAGTCGGTGTGAGGCAAAGGTCACAGAGGGGAGAGACACCGAGCAGGTGTGAGCTCCAGTGGAACAAGAGGTGCAGATGTGTTGTTGAGAGAGATCTCACACATTCTGGAGAGCCTCTCGCTGCACTCACAGGTTCTCGCAGCGTAACAGGGTGACTCATGTATGACAGGGCCAGGCCATTACATTCACAGCTCCTCTCTGTTTAGTCACGCTTGTTGCCTGTGTCACACATCTACATCTGTTCATGTTAATAGATTTTAGATTTAGGCCTTCACGTGGTTGCTTTTGTCTTTAGGCTAAAGACAGCGTGTAACAATATTATAAACACTAGTTCACTTCAAACACAACAGTTTAGAGAAGAAGGCCCTTTTTTTCTCGGGAGGCGCAGGTCCAGAAAATAAGTTGTTTGGCCTTGAGCCATGAAACAACGGCTGCATCCATGTAGTCACATTCAGAAATCTTATGGCAGGTTATAAGAGGATTAGAAGCAGATTCATGGCATCACGTTTCATTTTAATGCTCAAATGTCTGCATGCTTTTAGTCACGAATCACATCGTCCTACAGAAAAATACTTTAAGTGGATCATGTTCACTACAGTCTGTAATTTGATACTGCTTTTTTGTGGTAATTTGTTTTTGCCATAAGCTTCAAAAATAGTTGTTAATTTTGAAAATATGTCTTCAACTGTAGCTCTCTAATCTGCATTGTGTGAAAAGCGTTAGATATATTCTATGGTTGTAAGTATTATCTGGTAATATGTATAAATATTTAATATCAAAATGCTAACTATGTATTGTAGTGCACTGAGTGAACTATTAAACCTGTGAGCTGTGAGTTGTCCCAGAGTGGGAAGTGACAATAATAATAATACTACATTTTATTTATAGGCCCCTTTCGAGTCCCTCAATGTCGCCTCATATTGGTGCAGTAATTTCAACTTGCATACACAAGAAACAAACAAAAACACAGATTAAAACTGATCAAGATAACAATGGGCTACAATGCTGTTTAATTATGTTATAATGAAGGGTGTGAAGTCTGAATGTGAAGATGGGTTTTGAAATGTGATTTAAAAATAGAAGGAGAGTTTATGGTCCTGAGATCAGGTATTTCAAAGTCTTAGAGTAAAGCAGCTACAGGCTGTCAGGCCCCATGGTGGACAGTCCAGGTTATTATAGCTAACTAAAACTTCACTAAAAACTAACACTAGTTATGGGGGGAAATGTAGTTAGCTGAAATTAAAATAAAAATGTGACTTTTGAAAAAATATAAACTAGCTAACTATTTTATGAACTTGGAGAACTATCCATCCATCCAGGGTCGCGGGGGGAGCTGGAGCCTATCCCAGCAGTGATAGGGCGAGAGGCGGGGTACACCCTGGACTGGTTCACCAGACAACCATTTGCACTCAAATTCACTATGGGCAATGGGCAATTTAGATTGATCAATTAACCTGTCCCCACTAACTGCATGTCTTTGGACTGTGGGAGGAAGCCGAAGACTTGAAGAACTAGCTAAACTAAAATAATAACTAAAATATTAAAAAGTATCCTTAGTTTTAGTATTTGTTAATTTGCTAAAAATATGTAAATACAGCTTGCCTGATGAGGCTTTGATGGATGTATTTATTCCGACTTTGGACGTCTGCACTAACGTTCCTAGATCTTGGACATTTTCAAAAAACCTAAACCGAAGCGAGCTAACCCACTCTGGACACTAACTCAAACTTAACTGAATACAGAACAAAAAGAAATGAAATAAAAGTAGAAAATATGAAACTATAATAACTCGGGGATCGATGCAGACAGGGGGTGTAGCTGGGATTTAGGTGCAGCATTTACAAGATGCACTTTTTATGGCTGCATTTATGCTACAGGCAGACATGAGTTAAGTGCTTGAGCTCGCTCTCAGGGTTTGCTTCGTTTCCACAACTTTAAACAGCAGGTGCTCATACCATAGACAATCAGCCACTTTTATCTTTTCATAAAGGGGAGCTGTCACGCTCATTTCCAGTTGCATATTTTCCTTCTTACACCCTACTTGAATAGCTTTTTATTATTTATAGGTCAAAACAATCCTTATTTACCTTACACTAAATACAACGCCTCACGTCATCCACTGTGTTTCCTTTTTGTGTGCTTTATACATCGTTATTATTGCACTGGCCATTAACTAGCTAACTTCCTAAACACAAAAGAACTTTAAAGGAGAATTTTGAAATCCATACAAAAGGCAGCAATGATGAGACTCTGCTGAAGCTTGAAAGGTGTGTTTAAGAGAAGCTAGAGTGACTACAGCTGTGTTTATGAATAATGATCAGGTAATAGTATGTATGTATTAAAAACAACGAGGCTCCATCCACACTCTCGTGTTCAAACAGCAGAGATGTATGTAGGCGGCCAATTAGGCTGTTATTTACTTCCGTCTCTCTCTCATGTTGGAAGTCGAGGCTCCTATAAAGCCTCTGTCCTTATTTATCAGATCTGTCTGCCTGCCTCTCACTGTGAATCTGAGTTACAGAGTCACAATGCAACTCACTAGAACATGATTTTTTTCAGCTGAATTAAAACTTCTCTTTGTAGTTAATGAAATTAGGTTAGCTGGGCTTTCAGGTTCATTATCTTGATTTTTGTCAAATCAATAATAAACAACAGAGAAGCTTATGTGATATTGATTTTATAGCACTACAGTGCAGTGGGTATTAAATGAAGTGCAATTTGTGTTTGCCATTCTGCAGGGCCGATGGACGACGATGGTCTTTAGCGTCGTTGCCCTCTTCTGGATATGGTACCAACACTCCCAGCTCCACGGTAAAATATTCATCACCACTTTTTCACTGTATTGATCATAAACGTGTGTGTAGGGGAGCAGCTATGCTAGAGCGTATTTTTGCAGTTATGCGTATGCGAACAACTCAATTTAAGCAATCCTTTCAGTTGCCAGTCAAAAAATACACTAGTTAAAACCAACATAGTCGAAGTTAAAGCGTAGACGAGGAGCAATATTTGCAGGACGTTGCCTCTCAGCACGAGTCACGATAATTTAGAATGTAAAACAGTCAAAAGTATTGGATATCCATAAGAAGTCATATAGCTTCACTATAAAACTAAGGTCACGAAACTCCAAGTAAAACATCGCTGAAGCAATTTGCACTCCTAGTCTACTGTATGAAAAACTCTGTAAATATGCCCCATTATATAGCGTTAAATAAAATTCATTTGATAACTTATTTCTAAGTATTTGGAACATGAAGAGTACCAACATTATCTTTGAAGGCTCCTTTTACATCACAATTTGGTTGTAACCCCATAAGCATTAGCTTAAATGTAAATTGTTGGCTGCTGGGTTACTGTGTAGCTAATAAACTTTTGATATAACTTATAAGTAGCTAATAATTAATGGGTTGATTAGCACTGATTAGTCTGTTTATACCAAATCTGTTTGTTTTCCCTCTATGAAATTAGTTCTGGTGTGAAATGATACATGGACGTCTTTTTCTGGCAATTCAGACTTCAAGTACCAACAATGCTGTCCTGTCCTTGAAAAGCTTATGGGCACTGTTACAGGTCCTTATTTTAGGCAAAGCAAGACATTGGTATATGTTCCTGCTTTGGATTTTACATTTTGATACATTTTATTCAAGTCAAATAGAAAGCAATACAGTCTTTGATATAATTAGTCTACTGAGGTTTCTCACGTCATGTGCATATTGAGTTGTTCACCGTACTGGAGGTGATTCAGCAATCGATTGCTTGTGAAAAATGTGTCCTTCTCAGTTAGTTGGAAGTGTTTCCTATCTTCAATTTAAAAGTTGCGCTTTTAATTTGAAGGGTTTGAGTTGCAATTTTTATGGAAAGTAGTTGGCCGGCGTCACTTCCATTTAAACTATGTAAATATGCCAAACACCAAAGCAATCACAAGGATTCGGTTTTGCCAACCTTTGCCAAGTCTAGGGAACGTGCGCTTCTCTCTCATGACCGGTGATTGCCAGATGAGATGGACCGGTCTCCAGGCCTATTTACTACTACACTGTCACCGTGATTGTCACACGTCAAAAAGACAAGTTATCGTCACACAGTTAGTGGTCACGTGTCTGAAAAAAATCAAGTAATAAGTCTTGTTAGGATAGCGCAACACCATCTGGACAGACAGCTAGCAGAACAGCAGTGCAGGGAATTATAGAACCAATACTAGTTATTATAGGGGATACTTTTAGATGCACTCTTTATGATGACATTTACTGATGATTATTTTGGAAAGATCCTTATGGTTCCTTATTATAGCAATGCAAAATTTGTATTCCTTCTAAATTACTTGAGGGGTGGGCTTATTGATCAGACCTGTCCCCACAGCTATATGATGATTAACCATAATTATAATGATTATCGACCCTTTCAGCATACCAGAACTTTCCCCATGTAGCATGTTAGATATATCTATAAAAGCCAGTTTGTATTAGCTGAATATACATTTTCACTTTAAGATAACAATTAAAATGTATCCATCTCCAGCTCGTCACTTCTACTTCTTCCCCTGCCTGTCCTTCAGCATGACGTGTTGCATAACAGTGATATCAGGGGCCTGGTTGTTCTCTCCATCTGGCTGTGGATGGAGGCTTAGATGGATGAAGGGAAGAGAGCAAGAGGGGAAAGTGACGATCGCCAAGCCGGTTGGGACGAGAGCGATGAGACACGTGGTGTAGTGAAGAGACGTCTACACGAGATAGAGCACATGCGGTTCCACGCTAATTTAATCAGAGACCAAAATAAGCCAGATACTATGAATAGAAACACAACAATAGTACATTAAACAAAAGGCTGTGAATGTTATGAATCACACTGAGCTGGCCCCTCAGTCTCTGCTCTATTTAAAGTAATTCTCTCACATCATACCACAAATTCATAAATACTGAATGGAGTCATTTTCTTGCCGACAGCGTTACCAGATTATAGCTTTGTGGAAAGATCACGCTGATCATGATGCTCTATTTCATCTTGTTTGCAAGAATTTTAAATTTTGGGCCCCAAAGGTGTATTCCTAACCATTTTCCAAGAATTCCCCGTATACTTGGAAAAACCAGTGAACAAGGAGAGAAGAAGACCCAGTTTGTGCTCATCAGACTGTAGCCAAAAAGACACACACTTGAACAGAAATATAAGTAACAGCTGGATCAGTTCAGCAGATGCTCTCTGGGAAAATAATATGCAACTCTACCAAGATAGAGGAAAAAATCTTGACATCCACACATAAAATAAACAAAGGGAGGAATCTGCATCCTTACTTCACTCTTTTCACTTAGAAATGTAAGAGGTCTCATTGTCCCTGTTTGAGGCAAAGGAAATAGGAGACAAAGTTTTACTGACAGATGGATTTAAGGTCTGGCCCTGAGGCGTCATTATCTTTCAGTTCCTGGTTTGTCGTCACACTGTCTGGATCCATGAGGAATAACAGCTGTAGACTGTCAAACACTTTAATAATTTAGCTTTCAGATCGTTATCTTCTGCAGTTGCTGGACGTCATTTGGTGGAGTTTTGTCGTTAATTTTCTGGCACTTTCTCTATTTGATCCTTCCAACACGCCTACTTCCCTTTCTCATCTGCCATCCCACCCCCCTCCTCCATCATCTTAATTCTCTCCCCTTCACCGTCTGCTTCCTCTTCCTCCTCCACCCTCTTGGCTCCCTTCCTCTTCTCCCTCTTCCAGTCCTCCAGCTCTTCTCAGGAGCGACTGCACCAGCTGCCCTTCCAGCCCACCATGGATGAGCTCCACTTCTTATCCAAGCACTTTGGCAGCACAGAGAGCATCATGGATGACGATGGGGGCCGCTGCTCTCCCCACATGCGCCCTCGCTCCCGCAGCCTCAGGTTAGACACAGTAGCGGCGCTCATGAGATTAAACAGCAGCGTCTGCTGCCCAGCGCACTGTCCTCTTTTCAGAGGCACTACTTAAAAGCAGATTTGCCGGGTCACCAGTGGTTGATCTTACTGCTTTTATGTAACATCTTTGTTTTTATCGTTAAAGAGGCCTTTAACCAATAAAAAAAATATTTTAGCTTATATAGGATCACAAGTCAGAATATTTTTAATTGGACATAAAATCCATGCAGAAAACATCAGTTTTAGGCTCATGACCTGTTATAATTTTTATGTAAAAAGTGATCTTTTGTTGGATAGTTTAAAAAAATTAAGCTTTTTGGATGAAGTATACAAATGATAATCCTACTGGAGTAGATTAATAATGCATAGGTTATATAATCACAATATACTCAAAGTAAATAAAGTAAGTAAAAGTACTTTTGTGTCAAATTACACTTTTCAGAATTTGATACATGACAGTAACAGATGATAATTATGATTTATTAACATGTAGATCTCATTATTGTTGCAGCTGGGGATTTAAATACTTTTAAATGGATTTATAATAATTCAATAATCCTGATAATCCAAAGCTTTAAGATAAATAGTACGGAGTTCAGAGTACAATACTTGCATCCAAAATACATAAAAAGAAAGCAGCATGACACGGAAGTACGAGTACATTAAACCTCAGTAAAGTCATCAAGTAAATGCTTATTTAAACCAGTACTGTCTTTTAGTATTGATTAGTTATTAGAGTATTGAAATGCCAACAGTTTATGGGCAAAACACCTCTATAAAAAACAAAATGTCAGTAATGTCTTAGTTAACTTTCATGTATAGTCAACACAAATAATTTTGAAAACTATGATTGAATTTTGTCTTTTGGTGTGAATAATTACTTTAGTTCCAATCACTCCCATTTATTGAAAACTATCTACTTTTTTTTTCATTTTACAGTGCGTCTTGAAGCCTATTTTAAATGTATTTCAGATATGTCGATTATAGCATTGATCTCATTATATAACAGTTTTCAGCCCTTGCTTTGGAAAAGCTGAATTTTTCCCCTGTGTCCCTCTGCAGCCCAGGACGCTCCTCCTCCTGCTACGATAACGAGATAGTCATGATGAACCACGTGTACAAAGAGCGTTTTCCAAAGGTTAAACACACACACACACACTAACACAACATACACACAGAGACTTGCAAAGAGCCTTCACGATAACATCATATTCTGTTTAAATGCACACAATAGTAAACTTTTGGAGCCTTTTCGGTGCTCAGTTACTAATTAAAAACAGTCAAAGCTCTGCAGTTTGTGATTAAACATTATCAGAGATCTGTGTATGCAAATGTTTTATATCCTGCATCCAAAAAACTGGGAAAGAACCGTAACCATGTGGGCTGCTAAACCATAGCAAACAAGATTATGAGAACGTGCCAAGCTCCATTCACCCCGTCAGTGTGAATATTACGTTTATTCAGTGCATGTAAAAATACCGCTCCAGTTATGAACAGTGAAATAAAGCCGGTCGGTGAGGTCGGTATCAAAAGGAAAGAAGCTGAAAGCTTTGACAGTGATAAAAATCAAACCATAGGAAATTGAGCATTATAGTTTAGAGTTCATCTGCGGTAAAAGCTCTTTGGGCTTGTTCTCACACAAGTGAAATGAAAAAAAGAAAAAGACATTGTGCTGAAGTCTGACTAAATCAGCAGAGCCACGCTGTCTGAATGGCAAATGAAACGGCTTCCTGAACTTTCTCTCGCATAAATCCGGCCGAGCTAAGAAAATAAATCTTTTCCTAAACCTAATCTCCTCTGCTGTCTTCTTACGCCACCTTGTCCCCCACCAGGCCACGGCTCAGATGGAGGGGAGGCTGGCTGAGTTCATCCAGGCTTACTTGCCTGAAAGTGTTCTTCCGCTGGCCGATGGAGTCCTCAGCTTCATCCACCATCAGATAGCAGAGCTGGCCAGAGACTGCCTGGCCAAAGCTCGCGAAGGCCTCATCACCTCTGTGTACTTCTTCGAGCTACAGGAGAATCTGGAAAAGCTGCTTCATGATGTGAGTTTTTGGCAATCGCCATCTTGTTTTTTTGAAACTGGACGTCCCTGGGTTTGACCGAGAAACCGAGGAACGCTGCGCACTCATAAGTAGCAACTTGTCTGTCACATTGTAGCCACACACTAAATCATTTCCTACTAAATAGGACCATAATTTACAAAATGAACATCATGCTGGATTTAATAAGACTTGAAGTTGGAGATTAAGACCACAAATTCATCAAGAAAGTATTTACTAAGGCCCATTTTCTTTACTCAATGGGACTTCTTTTTGCAACCAGACAACTTAACTGCTCCTCTTCACTGGAAAAGGTTTACCTTTAAAAACTATTTACTTTGCCTTGTTTGGTATCATCCTTTTCAGCACAACCTCACGTGTCTGAATTTACAGTTATGTTTTCATTTTGACATACTGTATTAACACAATTGATCTAAAATCAGACAAAAAACATAAAATCTGAGTAGAAAAAGTTATATTTTTT